ATAGACCTTATACTCTGGATAGAGCCTATGGTAGTTGTTCAGCTTTCATTCATTATTCTATGTGAGACCAAGCCTAAACCATGCTGATGAGTCGTCAAAAACCACGGTTCGCTGTCTGTAGTCAGACAAATGAAAGCTACATTACTAGTTTGATTAATGGCGAGTAAATCGCATCTAATATACCGCCAGAACTGACGGCTTTTAGTGGCCACAGTGGTGACACGGATGTCAAATGCACTGCTCCGTTCTGGTAATAGATGGATGGCGCTTTGTGCTGTTCTATTTTTCTTGCTTTTTTTAGTTTATGTGTGACAAACATTTTTGTTTAAATTGATCCTGTTGAGCAGAGATCCGAAATAAAATATCTCAACAAGGGTATGGTGCCCACTGAAACTGAAAAAGGTATTGTGGCGACTGTTGGAGGATGTGCAGTTTTTCATGAAATAATCAAAGGAAAAGGTAGTTCCAACAGAGAACACTGCATGGAATGCATTTGAAAGCTGCCGGTCGGCTTCAGCGACCTAAGACTTGACCTGCATTGCTAGATTACAACAAAAATGCAGCGGTCTATCAGCTAACCGTCCTTTGATAGCGGCTGGCTCGTCATCTTTCCAGGAACTGCCCTTGGTGTGGCGGTCCTCTCATAGACGGCTCGGCACTTATTAAGAAAGGGGCTATTCGGTGTTGCCAGACTGACATAAAACGTTTAAAACCTGCTGTTTTCATTTTGCGCTGGATGAAGCGCAGTTCTTTTCACATTTTGACGTCACAATCTATTAATAGGAAAACGAATCGTTTCAGCTGTACCACTTGCGGAGCCAAACTTTTCTAGAGGATGTCCAAGCTGATCTTTAACGCAGTTACTATTTACTTCTGCACACATGAATTTTGTAACAGAAGGCCATTGTTTTTATCCACTTTTTGGAATCCAAAAAATTATTACAGACTGTCAACAGTCAACAGTACACATAACAAGCACCTTATCATAGTGACAGTGAGAGGCATAAATCTGGAAAACTCATTCGTCGATGAGAAAATCTTTAAGGCAGTAAGACAAAATTAAAAAAGGTTGTCCTTACACGCGTTCGCACATATGCATGTGTGAGGGAGATGGATATGTACTAATTGATGTAGTTTTATTGAATTATTGTGACCCGTCAAAAACCGTGAAGAGACATACAGTTGCCTCTTTCACCTAGACTACCAGCTCGATTCCTTTCATCCTTCTGATATCCCTCGGGCCAAACAAACTTTTTTCTGTTTTTTTGGAATTATGTTCCTATACGGTTCTGATCAGTTAATTGTACCAGATCGGAGAAAGAACATGTTTGCTGCTAGAATGAGTACTCGACTTTTTCATTGTATCTGTACATTTGTCGTTGTATTTGTTTGAAATTCTGATGTATTTACGTTACTTTTTTGCCGTTTTTCTTTTTTCTTTATTTGTGGGTTGAATTTGTTTTAAATGAGTTTGATCAACAAAACTAGAGCATAAACAACAAATTCGAAGTTGATAGAGAATAAAAAAATATTCTGACTCGACTAGATCCCTTTTAAAGAATCTGAATCTGCATATTGCCCGGTCCAAAATTCTGTTAATAATTGACTGATTAATTTTTCTACAACAAATTTAAAAAATTGCCCTTTTGGATTCGGACAGTGTTTCTCGTACGAACACATCTATCTCGTCAATAGTGGCAGCTACTGGGAAAAAGCTAGAGTATTTGTTTAGGGCTAAGAAGTATTTTTCTCCATATAACCTTCTCACTCCCAGATAAGACCTAGGCTCGAGTACGGCTCACATGTTCGGGAAGCAGCGGCCAGGACTACATAATACATGCTCGATGCTGTTCAGATGAGGGGTTGTGCGACTATTTGATGACTATTCTCAAACGGACAGTTTTGGGACGCTTTCGCACCAACGCGACATCAGCGAGCTGGCTGTCTTCCAACGCTATGTCAACGGGCTTTGCTGTTTCTCATAGCTCACCTCCATGATTCTAACAGGGTCAAAATTTGTACATCCCGAACTAACCCGTATGACCACTCCTTACGCAGTTCAAAAATCGACATAAGTTTCTTTGAGCTCATTATAGCAACCGCGGTACCCTGGTAAATATGTTGTAGGCTTCTGCTTTGTTATAAAAAAGTAGTTTTTTTATGATATAAAACCAAGTATTGATCGTCGTCAAATTGAAAAACTATACAATCGGATACACAAAATCATTCCAAATAATCGCCTCGACCGACGCTTCCGATCGATTAGTCACCATTCCAATAAATGTGGTCACTTCGTCCCAAGTTTCATTTCGAATCTTGATCAGCTGAAATGAATGATACTGTCGGTATCTGCAAACAACAGGTAATGATACGCTACCACTTCTAGAGCTGAAGTAAGGCAAGTGAAGAATTCTGGAAGTTAAATCCACATATACAGGGAGTTACAGAGCGTTGTCAAGAACATCCATGTAAAGATTCATCAGGTAAAAGTAGTGAAAAAAGTTATATGAGTATGGGTCTGGAAATTCCCCGTTTTCCATAATACGACTGAGAGTGTCCATCTTTGATAGTAGCATTTACAAAATTGTTTTCTAAATCGCTTACATCAGTGGCGTTCGTGCTAGCGATTCGTTCATTGTTATTAAAAATAATAACTGAGCTGCCACACTCTTTTAACGAACATAAAAAAACTAAGAGACTCTTTTCATTCAAAATCAACATCAACATTTTTTTAAATTTTGAAATGGTGAAACTTGATATTTAATACCGGAACCGCACGCTTGCCAAATCGCCGCAAATCGTCACAAACGCAAACGTGCAGATAGAGCGTTTGGCTTGGTTTGCGTGGGTTTGCAAGCGCTTGTAGCCGATCCGATCGGATGTCGGTTTTTTGGTCGCAAATCTAAAGGAGTTTGCCACAAGCGTTTGTGACACAACCATACGTTTGTGCGCTTCAGTCTCGCTTATGCACTGGTGGCGAATGGGTGTAAGCTTTGCAACAATAAGCTGTGTCCAGTTGGATAACAACAAAATGAGTGACTGGTTGAACGAAGAGATTTTGAACTTCCTGGAGCGGTACCAAGGATAAACGTGGATTTGGCATACAGGCCATCCGGATCACAAAGATAACAAAAAAAAGCTGGCGCATGGAGTCGCCTTAGCGCATCATTTAGTAAATCTCTATTTAGTTAATGCCTATTAAATTAAAAACACAAATGTTACTACTCATAATGTCAGCCCCTTGAATTGTGGATGTGATAGGTACTATTTTAGGAACTAAATATCAATTTCATTAAAACAAATACCATTTACCTGGTATGATTCATATGAATATTTAACATCCACCACCTTCTTGGTCCTACTTTTCGTTTTATCTGACTGTTTTTTTTTTGTTTTATAATAAAAATAGCTTAAGCCAAATGCTACGGCAGACACAAGTTCGACGTCCGTCATGTTTGCCTGTTGCCTTTTCACTGACACACCCGCAAACGTGTGGACGGCCACGTTTGCTTCTTCAAAAAAAGGCAAGCCTTTGTAGGGGTTTGGAGTTTGCGGCAAATGGCAAGCGTGCGGTTCCTGCATAAGAAGTATCATGACTGCCTCGTCAGTACCTTTGCGATTAGTTTGATTTTCAATTACATTTTTGATTGCTTCGGCATGAACTCATTAAGTGTTAACTTTGATTTCGTATTTCAGTGTATAATTAGACTCTGGATGGTTAGCATAACACTTACCTTTAACGGTTCCCCGGAGAAAATCACCCAACGGGTCGCAACTCCATGAAAGACCTTTGTCATAAGAATTTCGGCTTATCAAATATAGTGACGAAAAGCTCGATTGCTACGTTGGTTGTATGATAAATTGTGCCGTCCCGTTGCCAGATGACGTCCTATGCCAGTCTGTTAAACTTTTAGAAACCATAATCCAACGTTTGCCATTGACATCTACTTGCTCAATTTCGAAAAAAAGTGACTCGTTGCGAGTACATTTGCTTTTCCTCGATATGTAAATGCGTCAATTTTGCTTATTCGCATGACCTCTAAGGTGAAACTGCGCTTTACTTACTTTTAAGCAAACTTAAAACTATATTTTTGTTCATCATTAATGAAATTTCAGTTTTCAACAACAGCTTAACTGCTACCTCAAATTCCAAACGCTAGATAGTAACGTTATGCGGCACCCTGTATGTCATTTTCCACGTGTGAGTCAGAGGCGCAGCTAAGGCAATGTTGAAACCCCCTCAGCAGAGCTTGGAATCTTTTTGTAAAAAATGGTGGTTTTTGTAGGTTTATCTTCGAGCCTAAAAAATGACTTAAGCTGTAAAATAGAACACCCAGAAAAAATGTTATTTCTTTGAGTGAACTTTGTTATTTCAGAAACGCTGCTGATGGGCTTCGTATCGCATATCGCCACGTTTTTCACGGTGTCTACAAGGGAGGAATTAATTGAACAAGTTAGGAAGTAGCCAATATTGTTCGATTTAAGTCACGAAGACTATAAGAATTGCAGGAAAACGGATAAAGTGTAGGATCACATTAAATTTAAGGTTTCGTCATAACAATCTGGAGTCATTCGAAAGTATACGTAAAAACGTTGTGGATGTCTACGTAATTCGGGCATTAAAGTATGATATTTTCTATATATATCCTTCTTTGTTCATTGATATCATGTATCCATTTATTCGTGTTCTTAAACACAATTATCAATTATACTATGATTATCATCGAAATTGTTACCTTTCTCGCCTTTTATCTTCTGCTAAAGCCAATAATAATAATAATAGTTCTTTACCAGAAGACATATTGTATAAGAAATCAAAAGACGTTTGAGAATATCGTGCAGATAAGAAAACTTGCCGTGCCGCGGTGGTGTAAACGCGCAGCTGTATCACTAAATGCGATTTTCTGACTGCGCCCCTAGTTTCAGAGACCGTGGGTCAAGCTCTAGTTAAGAATTGAGCCCTCTAGTCTCTGTGTGATCGACATTGACTTATCAAAATGACATGACGTTGTCACTCTTCAAGTAGTTCTTTGGGGCATTGCTATAACTACTTTTATAGGAAAAATGGTAGAATGTCATAAGCGTTGTGTGTTTCTTCAAGGTACTTAATTATGCATACCTTAATTTATAATAGTTTTGTTTGCAGTTCGTGGCTTACACTTGAGCATGATGTTAATATCTTCTACTTTTTTTCCGCAGTATATTAGCTACGTAACTGTGATAAAAAGGACAGAGACAGAAATAAAGAAGATGCATGTTTTACGTTACGTTAAGGTCGACGTCTGATCAAACCTTAATTGTATTGCGGGGTCACCGACGATTTGGAGTTGAACTGGGTTTTTTCAGAAAAATCACGGTATGATCGGCTTGCCTATTTAAAGTCGGATACGAAGGTTTCTCATTCTTTGATTGAGCAATCTTACACATATTCACCGTGCCTTATTTGGCTCATAACTAGAAGCACATATTCTGAAGAACTCGCACTTGCCCAGAAAGTAAACCGCAGTATGAGTGTGAGCACCAGAAATATTAAGAGAAAGTAGCGTAAGTTTTTGGGGCATTTTTGTTGCTGGCTACTCAAAGTAGGGACTTCACATGGTATATGAGTCATCCCGAGGTTAGACCAAAATCTTTCAAACGCAAGCTTATATCGGATTTGACCAATATATTCGATCGCTAGCGAATTAATCAGACGTTAGACACGTATGCATCATTACATAGGTGTATAAAGACATTCTTTGATATCATGTGTGAAGCAAACTGCACTCCAATTCTAACATTCTATATCCAATATTTTTGTTCCAGCACTCCATGGTATACTTCTTCCATCACTATGAGCTACCTGTGATCCTTCAACAGGCTCACTTCCAACAGTTCCTTTTGCGAAACACAGCTCAACAGCAGCAGCAAGCTGGTGTGGCTGCAGCTCCTCCAGGAGGTGGTGCTCATCAGCAACTCCCTGCGGGCGGTGTTGTTCAAATTCAGCAGGTAGGACTCCAATTTGCCTCATCAATATTATGATACCTGCTTTTTCAGGGAGATACTGTAGCAAAAACACGTAACCACTCAACAAAAAAATGTATTTCTGGGTCGCGGTTTTGCGTTCATGTCGTTTACTATTCGCTGACTTTATCCGATCCCTGTCTTTATACAAGTGTGTTGCCCTCTCCACGAACTATTCTGGACATTTTGGAGTATCGGCGAGGTCAGTTTCCGATGTTCTAGGCGCCCTAATTCTGATGGTTGCATATAGACCATTAGTGTTTTATTTCGGATCATTTAAATGGTAGGACTATTTTGCTACTTCACACATCAATTGACGAACAGAAGACGGCAGGGGCAGCTTGGTGCAGAAAGAATGCATAGGTGGTGAAATCTCTATAAACTAAACCAAAAGGATTTTCCTTTTTTACTTCTAAAACTACTGAATTCCTTTCTTGAGGGAATGAAGTTTCGGATTAAAATTATCAATGTTTTGTCATCAACACAGCCAGTACGGGCCGGTGTTCCTAGGACCAGTCCTATACTCGTTATTTATTCACGGAGTCCCTTGCCCCAGCAACTGTGAGTCTACCTCTACGCTGACGACACTACACTTGTCACCCAGTCGTGTACTGGTGATCTGGTTCACGTAGGGTTGCAGGGTGGGGGGAGGAGGAAGTACTAGAATGTCGGAACGGTGTCTTATTAAAATTAATCATTTGAAGACGCAGGCTGTTTATTGTAGCAAGAAACGTCGCGGCCCCCCAGCCAAGTATCTTGGTGTCACCTTTGATAAAGGTATGACCTGGCAAAACATACAGCAGCATTCCAAATTGCGTTTTGGTAACTATATCCTTTGTTATATATAGATCCTTCAAATTGAGTTTGATAAAGTTATATAAGATGATTTTTATACCCGCCATTACTTATAAATATGTAGCTTGGTATTTTCTTGCCAAGAAACTTGCAAAGTCTTCAAGTACTGCAAAGCAGGATATTACGAACAAATTGCTTCATGGTATGTATCAAATGAGATTACTACAAGAGACCTTGACATTTCTTACTTGAGGAATTATGTCAAGCTTCAGGCGCAGCGACGTTATAGTCAAGCGGAATCGGATAGCAACCCTCTGTTGCATGACTCAGTGGACTACATAGTGGAACAAGTTCGTAAACATTCAAGGCCACGGCTCGCGCTGTGATCAAAAATTACCGCGAACTTTTAATAAACTCAGAATTACACTCTAACAAGACCTGAATCAAAATTTGTTTTTAGTTCACCTCCAAATTAATCCGTGTACCAAGTCAAAAAGCCTAGGTGTTTCCTCCTAAAATGATACACTTCAGCAGGACTGACAGATTCGACTAATGTACATTAGACAGTGAGTAATGGGCAAAGGTCCTACAGACCGTCTAGACAGATAAATGAATAGTATAGGTGGTGAGTTTTCGATATATTTTTTTGATGTACCACGAAGTTGGGGAAAGAATCATCGTGCCTTTTTTTCTTGAAAGTCGATTCAGTAGCAATCATTGTGCTTGTTAAACAAAAAAGAAGGTCACTACAGCACTAAAAATTTGACAACCTAGGTCACTTCCAATCTCATGGCATCTCCGCATCGACAATGCACCGCTTCATCGCGTACAGTTGAGGTTTTTTTTTCAGAAACTGTAAAGGAAAAGAATAATAAAACATATTTGATTTCATGTCTCGTGCTGATTTTCTTTCATATCCTTCTCCTTTTCCGTACTGCTATGGTCAATTTTCGAGGAAGAGGAAAAAAAGCCATGAAAACACTGTAAAAGCACGCTTTCATGCAATAAGTCAAATTTGTGAAATACTACACTGTTGTCAGCTGTCAACATTAGCACGAGCTCTTCCAAACGACTAGACCTATACCGTACTGATGGTTGCTACAAAGCATGAAGCAACGTTGGTTGCACCCGTACGTCTATGGTTGTCGAGAAGGAAAGCAAACAGATGATATTCCGGCCGTGCAACACTAATTTATAATAATATTCTTATTCAAGTTTGCATACACAAAATAAAACAAAAGAATAATATCTTGAAAACTGCAAAAGTGCAAAATTGAAAAGGTGGAGTGTTACCCTAGGGGTATTATTCAACTCAACCTTGAATAAAAAACTGTATCTATATCATGAACATATCTAAGGGAAAACCCAATAATAAAGATAAAAATAAGTATCAATGATAGTCATAATACCTAGTCTCTAAGGTGTACCTAGTGCCTAAGAGAAAGGAACTAACAATAAAAAAATGTAGTGAGTTTCAGATCATCCATTTAACTACGATAACTTTCTCAATGAAGCGTAGAATTAAAACTCGTTTGTTGCTGGTGCAGCTATCAACATCCTATCAGCAAATCATAATATATTTTTGAAGGTAACGAAAGAGTATTTTGTATCAATTAGTAGAATAAGAATGAAAGAGAGACAAGTAGAAATGTAGTGGGCGTAAACAGAATCTGCATATAGGATCCTTCACACTTCTTACAGATACAAATTCTTTAGCTTTTTCTTAAAGTTCAATAAAGAGAAGTCATAAAAACCATTTGGGAGACATTGTATAGTTTGGCTGCGTTATATGAAAAGCCGCGTGTAAAGGTTGATGTTGAGTGAGGTGGTATAACGATCATTCGCCTAGTTCTAGTATACAGGGTGACGGGAAAATAGCTGCGGAGCCGGTGGGGGGGAGATAGTACAATCCAATCTGAGTCGATTTTACTATAGGAACTACTGTTCGAAAATTAACCGTTTTCGAATTATTATACTAATTTTTAAGATTTTATAAAATTAACGTCCTTTACACGTTAACCAAGTCATAAAACCTAGAATTGGGTGTTTGATTTGATTTTTTTGTTTTGTTTTACAATAAGGGTATTCCAAAAATACGAGAATTGATACCCAAATGTACATTATTGACATTATCTCATGCAGTAAGCTTCAAAATAGTTCGATTTTTGTTAAAAAATCTTCCTTCATCTCAAACGCTTCAGTTTACTAGAAAAAGTCGCATACAAATTTTTCGTACAAAATAATTAGAAAACATATACGTTTTATTGCCTTTCAAATGTGGTATAAAAATCACAAATCGACTAAGAATTGCCAAAAATATGACTATTATAAGAGGAGGAAGAATAAAGCGATAAAAATACTACACTTACAAAATTATACCTTAATACAGGATCATTTGTTTGAAACTACATTTCTTTATTTTTATAATACATTTTCAATATGGCGCCCTCTATTTCTAATGCACACACGTGCTCTTCTTATGACAGATGATTTTACTACCGCCGAATTCCTAAGAGAGGCTTGAATTTCTTGAGCTGTATGTATTATCCTGTTTCTGATGTCTTCTATTGTGGGTACAGGATTTTGATCAGAGTATACTAAAGTTTTCATGCGTCCGCACACAATAAAGTCCATAGGTGTGAGATCGGGACTGCGTGCTGGCCATGGTATTGGTCCGCCTCTGAAACAGTTTCCGAATCGATGGATCGGTAGAGGCGGACCAATCCCATGGCCAGCACGCAGTCCTCTTATAATAGTCATATTTTTGGCAATTCTTGATCGATTTGTGATTTTTATACCACATTTGAAAGGTAATGAAACGTAGATGTTTTCTAATTGTTTTGTAGGAAAAATTTGTATGCGACTTTTTCTAGTAAACTGAAGCGTTTGAGATGAACGAAGATTTTTTTAACAAAAATCGAACTATTGAAGCTTACTGCATGAGATAACGTCAATAATGTAATTTGAGTATCAATTCTCGTATTTTTGGAATGTTTTTATTGTAAAACCAAAAAAAAAATCAAATGAAACACCCAATTTTCAGGTTTTATGACTTGGTTAACGTACAAAGGACGTTAATTTTATAAAATCTTAAAAATTAGTATAATTCGAAAACGGCTAATTTTCGGACAGTAGTTCCTATAATAAAAGCAACTCAGATTGGCTTGTACTATCTCCCCCCCCCCCCCCCACCGGCTCCGCATCTATTTTCCCATCACCCTGTATAATGAATTGATATTTTCAAACTTTGAAATTCTATCTAAAAGGAATTCCCGCTTTTTGTTCACGAGAAATTTGTGTATTAGTGATAGGAAATGCAATTTTCTCGATCTATCTAAACTTAGAATGTTGAGTTGTTTTAATATATGGCTTATGTGATCAAACTTTCTTATACCAAAAGAGAATCACAGACACGAATTTTGTACTCGCTGTAAGTTTAAACAATAATTGTTTAAAAGAGCCGGGTCATATATGCTGTCACAGTAAGATAGGCGAGAAATTATAAGGGCATCACATAACTTCATTTTCAAGCTACTATTTAAAACACGACGCTGTGGATATAATTGCTTAAGCATATTATAGGCTGAGGAGGAAATTTTATTGATATGGACACTAAATCGCAGATCTGATATAAACCACAATCCCAAATTTTTGCTCTCACCCACTACAGGTAATGATATGTTATTAATGTTCAGATTAAAAGAACGTTTTTGTTTAGAGGCAAACAGCATTGCCTTTGATTTGTTGGCATTAAGGCTTAGATTATGTGCAATTGATATATATTATAACATATAAATATTGTCGTTAATCAAAGAGTAGGAGTTCAAAATGTGATCAATCTGAAAACTGAAGTACAATAGTGTATCATCCGCATAATGATGTATTTTACAAGTTTTTACGTAGTTATGAAAGTCTGAAATATATAAAGAAAATAGTAAAGTGACTAATATGGACCCTTGTGGTATACCCATTGTAAGCATTATTTTGTCAGAAGATGAAGAGTTTACCGATACGTATTAGTACCTACTGTTAAGTAGTCCCTTATTAAATCTACCGCATTATCTGCAAATTCAAAGTACTTGAGCTTCATGCACAATATATACTAAGTGACATATACATCCGAACACCCAGTTTAAATGGTTTTATTTTAATAAAAGTTGGTGAATGTATTTATCTTACTATAAATAATAAGTGAAAAAATGTTCAGCCTTATCAGCTTTCAGGTTTTTATACGGATTTTTTTTAATTCACTAACGCTCTAAAAATGAATATTTCAGCCGCAGTAAAGAATCAACGTTGGCGGATTTTGGTTCTTGACATCCTTTACGATCGGTTACGATGCCTAGAGTACGGAGACCTGTACCATTTCGTCAACTTAGTGAGTTTGATAGGGGCCGTATAGTGGGACTTCGGGAAGCTGGACTTTCTTTTCGGGCAATTGCAGTTAGAGTGCAAAGAAGTGTAGACACTGTGGTTAGGTGTTGTCAGGCATGGCTTCGAGAAGGCCGTACGCAAAGAGCAAGGGGGACTGGACGCCGCCGTAGAACAACAGACCGTGAAGATCGTCGCCAAAGATTATTGGCCTTAAGGGACCGTTTCTCCACTACCAGGTCCATTGCAAATGAATGGTTTGCAGAACACGGAAGACCTATTGGCATGCGAAGTGTTTACCGACGAATGAGAAGTTTTGGCTTGTTTTCATACCGGCCACACTGGGTCCTCCCTTTAACTCGAGAACACCGACGTAATCGCCTTGAGTGGTGCAGACAACGGTCACTCTGGGATCAGGAATGGAACAGTATTGTCTTTAGTGACGAGTCTCGATTTTATTTAGGCATTCACGATGGTCGTGCCAGGGTTAGAAGGCGACGTGGTGATAGGAGGAATCCACAGTTTTTTTGTTGAAAGACATGTTCATCACACTGTTGGAGTTATGGTTTGGGGTGCTATAGCTTATGGTTCCAGGTCACCTTTAATCTTCATCAGAGGTAACACGAACGCGCAGCGTTATATCCACGAAGCTCTAGAACCCCATATTTTACCCTATCTTGACACCCTGGCAGATCCAACTTTCCAACAAGATAATGCCCGACTACATGTTGCAAGAGTCACAATAGACTTCTTTCAACATAAAGATGTCACATTGTTACCATGGCTACCAAGATCTCCCGACTTATCCCCAATTGAGCACGTGTGGGATATGACGGGTAGGAGATTGCTCAATTTGCAACGTCCTCCTCAGACTCTAGAAGCACTTCGAGAGGAGTTGGTGGTTGCCTGGAATGAGATACCACAGGAGGACATTGACCACCTGATCAGAAGCATGCCTGGCGCGTTGGAGAATGCGTAGCATATCAGGGTGAATCCACACATTATTGAAGGTCAAAGGGCTTTAAAGCAGTGCAATCATTTTGAAATTTTTATCATTTACTTACTATGCTTCATTAAGTACTTATACAAAATTTTATTAAAATAAAACCATTTAAACTGGGTGTTCGGATTTATATGTCACTTAGTATATTATGGTGTAGAGTATCAAAGGCTTTACTGAAGTCCAAGAGAATTAAACACATAACATTACCTTTGTCAAATGATTTGTAGAAGTCATCAACTATACATGCCAGTGCAGTTGTCGTGTTGTGTTGGGCTGGAAATCCAGATTGGATTGGTGGTATAATTTTGTTGATCATAACAAATTCCAAGATTTGCTGCCTTATGATCATTTCCAATAATTTGGAGAGTATTGGTAAAATACTGATTTGTCTCAGATCTTTAATATCGTCTACTACAGATACCATGGGAATTGGGATGATTTTTGAAATCTTCCACTCTTATGGGAAAACAGAGTTTAATAAACAAAAGTTAATAATATAGGTAATGTTGTACAGTAGATGATCCTCAAAAACATATACTTGGAAATACCATCTGCATCAAATTTAATACTTCTTTTTTTTTAAATTAATGCAGCAATTACTGAGGTGAAAGAAAAAAGTTGTTACTGCGAGGTTCTTGGAATGGATTTAACAAATCGAGTTGAGACTTAGTTCTATCAACTTTTTGTAGATTTGAAAAGTAAGCATTGATTGTATCTGGATTAGAAAGGTGTTGAGGAATGGAATTTGTACTGTTTTTGAGAACTCCTATTTGACGTAGCCGATGCCAAGTCATTTTTATATTTCTTTGTTTCATAGAAAACTCAATATAAGCTTTCTGCTCACGCTGTATGGCCCCTTTTGTGTAAGTTCCTTATAATAGTCCCAGTGAGACGGTTGACGACTTTTTTTGAACTTACAAAAAGCTTTGTCGCGCAATTTCATTAGAAGCTTTATATTATCCGTGATCCAAGGAGTAAAGTTTCTGGTTACTCTAAATTCATATACAGGGCAACTCATATCGAAAAAACGTATTAATTCTCTAGTTAAGAATTCGACCATTAAATTGACGTTGATGAAGATGTAATTGTATCCCAATTAATAAAATGCAGAATATTACTAAAAAAATCATAATTGAAATGCTTCCACGTGTGGGCCTTAACGACTCTTGGCGGATCTGAAATCAAGTTTTTCTCAAAGATGTGGCACGAAACTAAAAAATTGTCAAATGTGTCATGCAGGCTTAGAGCTTCGTGGAAACTAATATTTAATGTTTCACTGACTATAATAAGATCTAACAATGTCTGTGAGGTAGGAGTTATTCGAGTAGGGACATCGACTATGTGTTTCAAGTTATATAAATCAAACAATTTATTCAATTTCTGAACAGCTGTGCCTTGGGTGAGAAAATCGATATTGAAGTCTCCAGTAATACAAATTTCTTCTCAGCTAGGAATCATTTGAGAAAGAGACTCATCCATAGCATTGAGAAATTCAGTGATAATACCTTTAGGAGGCCTATAAATGACACCAAAAATGTGTACCTTGCCATATAGTTAGTGTGGACGTATCCATAACTGCTCTAAATCCTCATTACTATTTTTATGTAACGTAAAATATTTAATGTTATTTTTCATATAGAACAATAAGCCTCATCCCCTGCTGTCTCTGTCTACCCTCTCTACCTGATAATTATTCACTCCTATAGCATCAGAGCTGATATTCCTAGACAGCCATGTTTCTGAAACGCCAGAAGTAAAAATGTAATTTTTCAATGTTTCTAGTCCAGAAAATATAGATCGAACATTCAAATGTGAGAACAGCATCGCATACAAAAGAAAGTCAGTAAGACATGTTAGATACCAATGAAATCAAAGAAGGATACTACACATTTCTGAGATATACGGATAAAACAACTAGTGATGATTGAACATGATTAAGAAATCAAGATAGATCAGTAGCCTCAAAATACTTATATTATTACACTTTCAAATGAAAGTCGCCATATTTCATTTAACTAGACTTGGATTGACTCGGGGGCTGGCCTTTAGAATTCGGTTTAGCAGGTTCCTGTTTCGCCTTCTTAGCCGGTGGTTTGCGGTCGGGTGAGATGCTGGGGCGTGTAACAGAGTCCTCTGGTAATATGTTGACTAACACATTGCCATTGTGGTGGTCAAATACGTCGCCAATCGGATCTATAATGGGTGTAGTTGGAGCGCTTGTGTTATTGTCTGTCTGCGTAATGAACATATCTCTTTCTGATCAACAGTATATGCGTCGCCGATTATTTTTGCCGAGTCTTGTTTCTCCTTCGCTGCTTTCCGGTGTTTTTGAAGGATTCTATTTGTTTCTCGATCTTTTGGGCATAGATCGTGTACATCGAATACAGAACTGTTTTTAAGTTTGTGTACGTTCTGGAAGACCTCCTGCTTTTTGAGGTATGACACGAACTCAATTTTTGTAGGACAGCTCCTACCTGACTTAATACTATACATATTTTTAAGGTCTCCAGTGGATATATTTATTTTTAATAGTGCTGTACTTTGGAAGCTAGTCGTCCTTGTATCAACTTCTAAGCCAAACACAAGTATGTGATTTTTTTGTATCGCCATTTCCACCTGTAAATTTTCTTTCTCCAAATGTTTACACACTGTCTGTAAATGATCTATTTTTGTGACGTGTTGTTTTATATGTTCTAGCAAATTCGCGTTTTCTCTTCTAATTTCTTGGATATCTTGTCTAATCTCAATGGCATCACTTTCCTTGTTTATTATTGTTACCAATTCTGATAGCAGTTCGCTGTTACTCAAGTCGCCACGACTGGTCATTTCGACAAAAAAAATAATAGTACACAACAAGCGATTTGCGTCTTAGAGGAAACTGAGCCTTATGTAATCAGTAATAATTCGCACTAGTTCTTCAATTCTCAAATTTTATTCATAAACGATGACTTACTGCTTTAACCTTTTTGTATCGTGTATGGCAATCTTTATAATTCGACCACATCGAGAGAATATAGCAGCTATTAGTTGGAACTATAAAGAATCTCAGTTCGCGTTTGATAGCCCAGTCACCACTAGGACTGACGATTCTGACGTTACAGAAGATGTGTTCTACTTGCCTTTGAACAAGCTAAGCTTAGGCTTGGTATACGGACAACAAACGAAAGTATAGATGGCGCTTTGCGATCGATAGATCTTATGATAGATGCCTATACGTTCGTTCGTTGTCCAGAGACCAAGCCTAGACCATGCTGATGAGTCGCCAAAAAGCATGAACAGCTGTTCGTTGTTGGGTGTCCAACGAATGAAAGCATCATGCTTAGATTTCTAATTATTTCGGATATGAGAAATATAGTTGTGACAAATTCTCATAGGATGGCGCGTCTCATTTCACCTCACATCATTTTTTAGTCGCGCGAATTCAGTATTAGGTTGGCTAACTTCAGATAAAATACGTTATTCAATGGTAATAGTGACTTTGAATACTATTTACGAGATTGTAATGTTATCTATCTTTTGTTTCAGGTTGGCGGCGGTGTATCTCTCGTGCGCCATCGTTTAGCTCGGCTGCTGTCAGCTGTGCGTCGTCCTAGCGTAACGACGCAGACGTCACTACGTCAAGTGGCGTCTGCGTCGACGTCGACCTCGCCCAGCGAAGACGATCGAGGTGGAGGGGGTGGTACCGGTGGAGGGGGGGAGACTAACACTGTGGGCGTTGGTACTACGTCGCTCACCTCGCAGTCGCACTCATCCCCGGCGGTCTTCAATCAGACGCAATCTAGTCAGACGGTAAGTTGATACTTTTGAAGCGCTTGGATCTACAATAGACTGCGAAAACCAACAGTCAAGCTCAAAATAAAGCAATCTTAAGATACTCTTCAGGGTAATGTAAAGCAAGTTAGTTTGGAAATTTGGCGACCTCTAGAATTATAATTTTAACCGAGTTTTTGAGCATTGAATATACCAATTTTTAGGGCTCTTTGGACGCTTATATCTCGAGAAAATTTAATGAAAGCATTTTTTGTTCGGAATGGTCAAATAGCTAAAGAAGAATGTGTCCGGGCAAAAAATGATTTAAAAAAAGTTGAAAAAACAAACTTGATTTGTGTTACTGTGGGATATGTTCAATGCTTAAAAACGCCGAATTAAACTTAAAACCTTGCTCTTCAAGACCATGAAAAGTATTTTGAGATTAGTTCATTTTAGGGACGATTCCGACCTTATTTTTCAAGCCAAAACTGGTGAACGTGTTGCAGTTTTTTTCATGGTCGATTAAAAATTAGCTACATTTTAATAAAGTAAATTATTACAACATTTTTCTCATATAGAATAATGATTTTGTAGCCGTTCTTAAAAACATCGAGTTTCATTTTATAACAAAACACTTCCCTCAGGCTAATAATTTTGTGGTAGAAAATCGTACTCTTCTCTCCATCTCGCTGGACGTCATTTTTTATTATTTCTGTCTACCGTAAATACGAGAGCAGAAGGTAACTTGGTACTATTTCCGGTGCTCTGGTGTATAAATTTATCTGCGGCCCACTGCCCGATCCTGTGATTTGTCCACACGCTATGTTGCGGATTCAAATGGTGGTGCAGTAGTTTTTGTTACAAATCGGCCTCCTTGGTGGTTCTTAGTATCGGAGCCTCTTTCTTACCCCTTTGGGGATTCAACCATGCGGATTATTACACTCAACCAGCGAGCGGGGGAGAACCGCGTACAGGGTTAGTCCAAGGCCAGATTTTTGGAGAACTCTCATTGTTAGAGTTCTACCCTCCAGTTCTACCCTTCCGCTTTACCCACCGGTTTTAGGGTAACATCTGGGACTAACTACCAACGGAAGCCGTTCGATGATAGCCAACGTTTTTGTTTAATTATAGTTTTTTTTTTCTGAATAAGCTAGGGGGGGGCGGTAATACATAAATTCATTCTTAATAACCTGTTCTCCATGTTCTCCTTAGTTTTTTTATTTTTTTTTTGTTCAATAAATGTCTGTGTACCTTGTGAATTGGTATCTTGTTTAACGCCAGAATCTCAACAGTGATACTTGTTGTTTCATTTCCTAGTTTTTGGAAACTACGTGGTTCCCAAATACCCATTGCGCCCAAAAACCAAACTACAAAGAACCTCACCCTGAGGGGGCTCATAGCTACCAACTGAGCACACAGTTTATTCGGGATAACAAACTTTTGGTTTTCGCAGACTGTGCCTGAGCCACATTTGGATAAAAACCGTATTTCGATCTAAAAGCGCCCATGTCTGATGTTGAGTTTTCCGACAATTCGCTGTTAGACATCGCTATAATTGCCAAATTGCTTTTTTGACCACGATATCCCACACATTTTTACACCAAGAAAGTTGTAAGCCACTTAGATTCCAAGATGGTCGCCAAACGGAAATTAGTCGATGATGGCTGCAATGGCTATTTCAATGATATAGAGAACAAAGCGGGTTCTGGATTTAGTTCGGATTACAGTGTGAATGAAAGGCACTATTCTGCGAGTGATAGTAGCTCTGATACTGATTCCCAATCGCTAACTTAGACGAATAAATAAATGTGTGGCTTATGACTTTGCTGCCGTTATAGATGTAGCTTATGCATTTGTTACGTAAGAAAATTATTTTGGAATTAGTTTCACAATACCACTAGGTAATAATTTCAAACCATCTTTATCCTTATTAATAACAATTGTAGGGCTGCAAATAACCCAAATATTTGTCAATAATAGGTAATTTTGTTATGAGCAGCTCATGTCCTTCTTGACCGAATAAATTATCTGTGTGGCTTGTTGCGTTGTTCAGTTTTCAGGAACATTATCTTTTTTTCGAAATAGAAAACGCATATGACATAGATCTAATCGAAAAGCAGAACTTTTAAGAATTTAGCTCCATATCTTTCAAAAGAACTTTATAACACCCAAATTATGTTTATAAACCAAACCATCTAGAAATTACCCTTAGAGTGCAACTTTTTTCAAACAAGCACCAAGTTACGGTATTTTTAAAAAATTGTGTTGACTGTATTTTCCGCGAAACACACATCAGTAATCAAAAAAGGACTATTGACCTTCTAAATAATATTTTTCAAAAAATACAGGATAATACTATTTTCATCCACGTTCATATTGAGCCTCAGCAACTTGTAAAAGATGCAAAATTTATCATAGCTTATACCAACTGTTCAATAAATACGTTTCATCGTTCATAGAAATATTTGGAACATTACTCGTATTTCTTTAGTGATAGTGCTCTAGCTGGAAAAGAAAGCCGCTACGGACTCATGTTCATATGAACATTTAGTCTTCAAATTGGCCACGGATTCGATGATTAAAGTTTGTCTACATACTTTATTAACATGCTGTATTTACATTTACGTCATTCTGTCTACGGGATTTTCTAAATCGGATCTATTTCAACAAGTATTTCTCAACAAATGCTTAAGTTGCTAAAGGTTAATGTGTGCTTACTGAAACAATAGCTTATCATACTTTTCACATGGTGTGGTTCATTATAGCGCTACGTTTGCCCTTTTATAACATCCGATTTAACCAAATGCTAATACAGATAAAGGTCTGTAATTATAAAACTTATGTGCGGTGTAACAGCGGCAGAACTTGTTAAACAATGGAGAACGTCATTACCGTCCATTTTATGATAAATTTCAAATACTGCTCTGTGCCTAATGCTTGCAAATGCAACAGTGTGTGCTAGGCATTTGCACCCGTCTAAGACGTCAAGGTCTCCTGCTATGTCCACGGTGACATACCTGCCAACAGCCTTTCTATGAGATAAATAAACCAGCGAGGTGCCGGATGAAAACGTCACGGACGACCAGCAAAATGCACTCGCAAAACCACAACAAAGGAACGCTTTAGCCGTCACTTATGAAAAATATTCAAGGCGGTGAGGTAACGTATCTCCTAAAAGTTTTGGCACAAAATTCATTGGCTTTAATTTGAACAAACACAAAATAATATCAAGTTGCCTTGGGAAACACAAGTTTGTCTACTTACTTTACTGTTAGTTGAGATTTATTTATTTTGAAGTTTTCGCTTTAAGATGTCGTATGAATTAGAAATAAGAAAAAGTATCAAGAAGTCGATTGGGCGGGTACCCAAAGCTGAAATCTGTAGTATATTCCAGAAAGAAAACATTCCAGCAGAACCATTTATCGAACAATAGCGGAGTGCGAGCAGGTAATACCATGACCGAATCTCCCAAAAAGTAGAAGGCCACGTGCATTTACTGCACAGAGGGCAGAGGGATTAGTGAGAAGAGCAAAAAATACATATCTTCGCAGAGTACGATATTGTTGGAATTGAAAAGGAATGGTCCTAAATATGGAAAGAGACTTTACTGCCCCAAATACCCTCAAGCGCAACTCCTTCTTCGCACTTTGCCAATGGAAAAATGAAATGAAGGGAAACAACAGATTTTATACGGACAACGTAGAGGAATGCCGTAACAATATTAGATGCAAACATAAAGCGATAAAATCCTTGTGTGGTGCGCAGTTTCCAACAGGGGTGTATCTCAATCTTTTGTGGGGAGAGTGAGGGGTGAAGCTTTGAATTTTTTTTATACTCCAACTACCACGAAGGCCTAAGGCCTAAACACGCATGGGGTACCATGGCGCTATAGGGGATACAGGGGAAAGCCACACGGACTTAGGCGAGGGAACACGTGTGCATGCAACATGCACACATTCTGGCTACGAAATCCACCGGGTGGCATTTTAACACTATGGTATAGGGTTCGGCACCAGCCTTAATTTTATTGGTCAATTTCAATTTATTCAACCAATGACAAGCCGGGTGTCGAAATCATTACCGGAATGTTAAACAGTGCTGAAAACAGTGTCAGAATGTTATCAATTTAAATTGCCTCTACTAATATATCGAGTGCTGAAATCACTACCCGAATGTTGAGGATTACCGAAGTACAGTTCGGAATTTCGAAGGTCGCCGATGCGTAAGGCAGTTCTTTATCGTTTACGCAGTTTACGTTAGATATTATAACCTCAAAGTTCAAGCGTCATCGTTTTTAAAACGTTTCGAGTTGAGCAGAACAATGGAAGGTTGCGTTAAAATAAAAAACAATATATACAGGGGAAAGTTTACAGACGAAGAAGGCACTATGCAGTGGCTGAGAGATTATGAGGTAGAAACTCTTACAACTTGGCGATTCAAATGTGGTCTCGCAAATCCGCGTCGCCTTGTATATAGGTAAGTATATTGTTATTTTAAAGGATTATTTATTTGATTTTAATCACGACCGTAGCTTTTTTATTTTTGGAGCTAGACTTTTTTTAATGTTTTCGAGCTAGATTGTTCTTGTTTGGGTTAGAACTAATTTTCAGAATACCTACTTTGAAAATTCAAGGCGCACGAAGGGCATAATATTGTTTAAACGAATGCAAAATATATTTTTAACCGACTTCCCAAAAGATGGAGGTTTTCAATTCGTCAGCTATATTTTTTTCTATGTGTGTTTACCGATTTTTTCAAGATGGCTTATCCGATTATGATAATTATTTTTTTAAATGAAAGGGTATAAATGCCTCTGGGCTAGTCCCATATTAATTTGATGAACAAATATTGACTTCAAAACAGGAAATCAGTTGGTGAAATTATTTTTAAGGCAAATCTGGAGTATTTGTGTGTTAATTTAGTTTTTTGGTCGGGGAGGTTGCCTTCATGAGTGACCCGAAATAAGTAGGGATTACAAGGGGTTGCAAAAGGTTACCGATTGGTCGGCCACCAAAGGAAGAAGGCGCACCAAGAAAAAGAAAGAGAAGCACTCAATGTAAAGCAAAATTTACCGAATGCTAAGTCTCATGGAACAGGTCACTAAAACCTATTACATTATTATTTTGTTAATTTTCGAATTTTCTTTTTTATTTTTGAATATTCTTGTTTTTTGAATTTTCTTGTTTATTTTGAACCGACCAATCAACATTCACATTTAATATGTTTATTTTCTACTACCTTTTCACGAAAAGTGATCATTTCTTCCCTGAAATGATAAATGCTGTACTTGAATGAGAAAATACACTCTGTGTATAGATATTAGAATTTAGCTTCTTACATTACATGGGAGGAAAATACCACTATTCCACCCGCGGATTATTTATACAAAAATCCAAAAAAAGTATATGATTTTTTAGATTTTTACATTTCCTTGCATTCTTTTTAAATTCAGTTATTTTCTATAATATATAATTTTAAATTTTTCATGGGATTTTTCTTATTGCTAAACCAAATTATTAATTTTAAAATCATTAAATATCGTAATAGGAAACAACGTGCGTTGATTATTATCTTACGTATTTTTAGCGGAAGGTAAATAAATTTAAATTTAAATTGATAACATTCTGACCCCATGCTCAGCACTGTTTAACATTCCGGTAGTGATTTCGGCACCCGGCTTGTTATTGGTTGAATAAATTGAAATTGACCAATAAAATTAAGGCTGGTGCCGATTCCTATACCACAATGTTAAAATGCCACCGGGTGGTACCTCTGCGTTCGACAGTCAGAGACCGTCTACCACCTACATACAATCACAACGTCCATAGCCAAGAGAAAAAATCGAACCCGTACAGCGCACGGCGACTGATCAGGAGACGGAAGAATCTACTACTGCGGCCACCGCTGCTGCCAGAGCTATATTGATAACTGGCTTTCCTAATTGCTTTGGTTTATCCACGAACATCATGCTAATGACCATATCATTTTGGCCAGACCATGCTATTACTCAAGAGATACCCAAAACTGGCTTCGACAACCCAACATATATTTTGTTTGGGAAGCCCAAGATGAAAAACAATTAAGACGGCGTATTTAAGAAAAACTGAGACAAATCGATCGGAATTCCGTCCAGGGCCTCATGAGAGACATTCGAAGAAAGTTGCGTCAAGTAGAGGAGAGTGGGCCACTCCACATAACTCAATAGTATAGTTTAGTTCAGTATTGAGTTTTAATTTATGATAACTAGTTAGTGTTTGAATAAATTTCTTCATTTAAAAAAACCGATAAGTGTTTTGTGACAAAACTTTTAGGACATACGTTAAACTGAAACACGTACACAAACAAACGAGTGTACAAGAAACGGATTCCACATGTATGTTAATCCCCGAATACTGTGCAGTTGTGTATGTGTACCACCTATTAATAAACAATCACGATATTTGGTTTAAGAGTCACCAAATTTCTTCCAGGTGCCTGCATCAGTGGAGACATCGGAGTCCCAGACATCGGCCGGTCGGCCGACTGTCATGGCCTCCGTCCAGACGTCAGACAGGAGCGTGCGCCTTCCCTCGGGTGGACCCGACAGCCCGTAAATAAATACCCTCGCCCCCCAAGGGCTGCTTAGGTATCGGCAGAGACGTTGTCGTCAGTGATGATGACGTGTGATGATCGGAATGCATTGTTACGTTACGTTTTAAATGGTTCGAAGTACTTACATTCAAGGTACGAGGTACGGTGACTTTTAAGAAAACCTGCTTGTTGATCTCGTTGAGAATTTAAAATAGAATATATTCGTATAGGTTCAAGCCTCAAATGATACTTGGCTATGTTCAAGGTATCCTATGAGAAGATAGCGCTAACCTTATACTGCTTCCCGGCGCCCAAAAGGGATCTAAAAGATAATGGCGCGATCCATGAGTCAGTTGCAGTACACAAAAATGAATTAAGAATTCTGCCTTTTCGCGCCTATTTTAATTGGGTATCTTCAGGCAATCGTCAATGAATTCCACATGAAGATACCCAAAAAGGATTGCAGATCTCAGCGCCATCTATAAGACAGTAGTAGAACTCTTTTCAAAGCTTTTATAAGCTTATTTTTGTGTTCTGATAATGACTCATAGATGGCGCTAATATTTTTCAGAACCCTTGTCTGGCGCCAGAATACAGTATATTTTTTTTCTTCAGGTAGAACACGTTAATCAATGGTTCAAGTAACAAAATGGAAGAGAGTATCGTAACGTATCGTACGCCGCTGTTGACGCAGCGTGTTTTCGATTAAAGTGGGCTCCGATTGGTACATAAAGATTCGCCATATTAGCAGAAGCGTACGTTAAGTTCCAATACTTTCTATTATTTTGGTACTCGACTATAATTAAGGAAGTGTCCTGAAGGTAATTGTTCCTTGGAATTAGGTAAGCTTGGATATGAGTTCCATAAAATTGATGTAAACAATACACACTTGCTTATAAAAAATGGCAACTTTGAGCAAAAAAATGTCTAATATCTTTTGTGGCAAAACTGTCGAATTTCCATCAATAAGTTGTCCTTTCAAAGGTAATATTCATTTTCTATCTTGAAATTGGCGGAAAGGTTTGGAAGTCGCACTATCTCATCGATTGATTCGTCGGTCGCGCTGTAGCCATGATCTTGAAAGCTTGCTAGTCCTTTCAGTCATGAGCATTTTCTACCTGCAATTCCATCCTCCATATCGTATGAATCTAAAATAGGAAACAAATTATTTTACATATATCCTCACACACAAGTTCAGTTAGTATACTCCACTGCATAAGTTTCTTTCATACTACCGCATCGAAAGTCATAGCAACAAATAAGTTACCTATTAAAAAATACAATAGTGTTGCCCATACGCAAATACCCTCATACACTTTTAAGACGACATTCGTAAAATATGTAAAAATCTTCCGTACGAGCTTGTTTGTTGATTCGTACTATATTTATGTAACACGTTATCTATTAGCGTTCTTTCTGAGCGTATAAGATATCAGTGTTTCATTGATAACAACTCCTAACTGTCCAACACTCAATTATCGAAAATTTAAGTGTAAAGTAATTTCCGGCAATATGGAATACCATTTTTGTTGGTCGAGATAAGTTAAAAATTACACAACTAATCTGTCTCATATCTTGGAAATTATTAACTAGTGGTATTATCGAAAAGTATCGCTTGATGAATTTAGGTATAAAGGTGTGGTCCCCAGATACAAAACAATAAGTAAAAATTGGCACTACTACACTGCTAAACAAAAGTGGAGGGTAAGATATGTTAAAGGAAATGAGACAAAATGAACAGAAACGAGTCTAACAGATAACACACTGCAACGATACTTCATTATTACGACTCATGGTAAAGGTTTCCTGGCATTCCTGCATTGTCAGAAGCTGATTTAGTTTTCACATAGGTAAATAGTACCAGTTCGTCATCATCTGATTTGTCGTTTACAATAGCAGGCTGCGACTGAGAAGATGACGATGAAGTTGATAAACGGTTTTGTCTTTTCTTTTTAGGCGCGTTCGAAGAGCCTGGAGCAGCTTCGTTGGTTATTATCTTTCCTGTGACCTTATCGCATGAAACATTAATCGACTCCTCTAGTTCATCTTTATTGAGCGTTGAGGTTATTATTTTCGCCTGTCCACATTTTCTGCCTCTTGTAATAATTTACTTTTTCAATTCTGGCATAGGTATGACATATGTGGAAAGAACATTTGGAAGACTTGTATTTCTGTGATCTGCAGTCAGAAAAAACATCTCTTCGTACAGGATATATCTTAGTTGCACTGAACCCCCTAATGGATATCTCCGCTGTTTGCACCTTTAAGTGCGCTCGTCCAAAAATTTCGCATACATCAAAGTTGTTATAGCCCGATTCTTACTTCTTCATTGTCCAATGTTTTTAGTGCACCCATCACAATTTGTCCAGGGGCTGCATCTTATGTGTGGTATGCGGTGGTACGCATATTGTGGGGACACAATTGTCTCTTGCCTTAATAATCACATCTAAGTATGTGTATGGTGGCCATCAAGTACAAGAAGCACTGGACTTGTCTGTGTAGGTTTGGTTTTTCCTAAAAAGTGGTCAAACTAACGCGTGAATAAATCAGTAATTTTGACGCAACTATAGAAAATCGGCAAATATAAAGTAAATCCTAGAAAATTTTTCTACGTTTAAACAAGATACTTCTGTTAATTTATTGTCGTGAAATATGCAATATTCTATAATACCCGAAACATCAGTGGATATAAGACCCCAAAAATATATTACTTGAATTAGCTTGCCAATTGAACAATCAATAATTGCATTAGTATCTATATACACGTACCTGATCAAATGAAGGATTATTTTAAAGAAATAACTAACAAAACAAGTCAGCCAAAAGCAACGTTCAAAACTCTTGAAAAGTGCAATACTCAATGATGCCAACTGCTAAAATTCAAAACGTTACCAGTTGAGTCAATTCACATAGGGAACCTGTAATAGACTAAATTATACTACTTTAACTACCAAAACATAGGTGACGCCTTCTGTTTCAATAATAAAGCGTATTCCATATTACCCGGTCTATTCCATATTCCCAGAAATTACTCTATATTAAATTAATATGCACTTACGCAAAAACAAAATACCACCTTCGGCGAAAAAACAATGAGACTGATTTTTTATTTGCCCTAATCTCAATTCTTCTTCAAACATCAGAATTATGCCCTTGGGAACAGTTCCCGTGAGCAGCTGCATACCTTTGGAGACCTTGTTCCCAGCCTTGGTAGCAGCACTAGAAGTATTCGACTACTATCGACTTCAGCGTCCGTCACACTGCTTTGGATGTTTTCTAAAGTGCCAAATGACATCCTTTCAGGACATTTTTCAGTTTAAGAAAAAGGAAAAAGATACAGGGACTGAAATCAGGTGAATGGGGGGCTGGAGAACCACATGAAAGCGTTTTACGGTCAATTGTTCCGAGCTCTTCCTATTTAGCTGTTCACTCAACATTCTCAATGTTAGACGATGATCTGATATGACAAGGGTGATGTTTTCGTGTTGTTTTCGAGCAGGGTCCAGCTTCTTCACTTTCAAAAATGATTTGCGCTATTGAAAAATTCAAGCTCAGAATTAGAAATGTTCTCCATAGGCCTGTTTCTGCTTTACAAATGTCTCAATTGCCGATCTTCCAACCGTAACAAAATTTAATGGCACAACTTCACTAATCCCAGAAATAACGTGGTTGCCGGGCGGAGTTAAAACTCGGACCATATGAAGGACAACTGCGCAGCGTTGTCAGATCACTTGCAGTGTTGCCAGTCTCATTACTTTTTCACCACACCTCGTTTATTTCAAAGGCACATAACCCGACATAATACATACTTTATAAGTATTCTGGTGCGCTAGTGCGATACTTCGAGACATAGGAAAATAAAACTATATCGAAATTCAAGTGTAATTCTAATGGAGATCTCTTCTACTGCTTTCCTAATTTTCCTCCTCAACCCACTTATTTTTCATCCTTCTGTCAAGCCGAAAATACCATATTTCTCCATCAAAATTCGAAAACGTCATTTCATTTTCTTATTCAACTTTGAGCGAAATTAAAAATGCTGCGATGTTTGAAAAAACATCATAAGATATCTAGGATCCGTTTTTGAAGATGTATTGATTATTAAATATATTTATTTATAGATAGAGAGATAGAAAATAATTTCTCCATATCTTTTAGATAGAGAATTGAAACGGTAAATATTGTTTGAATGACACTTTTAGTTTCCTCACCTGTTTTTGACAGTTTTTTAGTTGGATTGTCCTCCAAAGGGCCACTGTACAGAGTCAATACTCTTTCGTGTCCATTGAATTTGTTGACCAGATGTACACTGATGTTTTTAGGTATCATCGATTTGTTTTTTTGTTGTAAGCCACTGCACCTTAAGCTTGAATGTTGTACATAGTGGCGCATGCGTGTACATATAATAAGATGCTACTTAATTTGTATCGCTTTCAAGGAAAAATGTAAATACTGTTATTTTTGTTTAGTAGGTGGATGTAGATTAATAATATTAAATAACATGTTAACACAAAATGCATTTTTATTCAAATCCATTGAAGAAGGCGATGCCATTTCTCTTGATGTAGGCTCACCAAAAGCAGACGGACAGCAACTCAACTTCGACCTGGTTTCGACATCAGTTGCATTTATTTAGCATCCTCCCCGACAGCAATATACTCTGGATTGACACAGAGCTAAAATACAAAAAGCATGTAAATTTGTTATGCAGTATATTTTGAAGTAGTTTTATCCGCATAGGCAAATTAATGTCAACTCCACTAAAGCTGAAACTGTGTGAAACAGTGATTATGTCAAAGATCTAACTATAGACAAAAATATGTGACTTGACCTAAACATACCTCAGTCCAAAAATTGATAGTTTGCGAGATACAGGGTGTTACAATTTTATTTTCTATTTTTCTTTATTGCTTGAGAAGTATTTCAGATTTTGGCATGAAACTTGGTGTATGCATGCCTTCTAGTATGAGAAAGAAGAATCCGTTTTTTTTATTGCCAAAGTTATAGAGGGGGCCACTTACAGCACTATTTAGGTAAATAACTTATCATAACCTTTTTGTGCTACCCTGTATACAACAAGTAACCGAAAAATCTTATTTTCTCGCATTTCCATAACAAAAAAGGTTTACTTATCAGAAGTGTCTAAAGCTAATAGTTTTCGAGATATTTGTTTTGAAAGCATTGCACCTTGCCAATGCGTACATTAAACGTATATCAGAATATTCATCAAACGTGTGCTCCATGATGTCTAACAACTTATTGTCAACTTAAAATTATTCATGTTTAAGGCAATGACAAACATTAGAAACGAAACGCTATTCGGATATTATCCAAAGCAACTTGAAGAAACCTGAAGTCTCACATAAATCATATAGTCTAGTCTGTCCTGTAATCTCTGGAATAACCTGTTGGAGGTCCCTTGGTGGTGCTAACCAGCCCTCATATGGTAAAATGTAGGAATGTAGCAGATAGCCAGCCAAAGCGGTACTACATTAAGGTTTCAAGCGATGCTCGTTTCAATGCAGCAGTTTATCTTCTGAGGTTGCAGAATGTAGTTCTGGTCAAATCCTGGTCTCAGTTAAGAAGAATGAAGAAAAAAGGAAAGAAAAAAAGGCCTTGGGTGTAGTAGGGCAGCCATTAAAGTGGAGGGAAATCTTCCAATCTTAGTGATCCCACAATACTAGTGGTGCGAACGCCTACAGCAATTGAAATTGTGAAGATTTTCCTTTTATTCAGCTATTTTTCGGAACGAAATCCGCACTTGCGAAACGGACCTCTGTTCGATACCGGAAAATTGCAATCGCGATCTTTTTTTACTTTTTTATTGCGCGCGTCTCGTGCCTGACATTTTCACGCCAGTTGGCATGCTATGATTTTCACCTTTGACAGTGACCGCAGACTTGACACCTGTTCACAAACTTCATTGCTATAAAGGTTATAAAATTATAAACTATGACTAGGGTTGCTTCAGGGGCACTAATTTATAAAAGGGAACAAGTAATGGTAAAGGTCGTAACAATGTGCATATTCTGGGTATACATCTCAAATTTATGTAGAAGTAGTAGAAGTAGCGGCGGGGAAGGGAAGCCTGGCAAATAAGCCGCCTTAGGCCCTTTGTGCTGACCCCATAGTACCAACACTATACTACTCCACTAGTCGTCTGCTGGTTGTTGATATACTAAACCAGCTCCAGCAATAAAATGTACCCATCGATGATAGTGTACCCACGTTCGTGATATAGACAACACACAGGCACGAAATCAACCTTTTAGGTGGAGATTGGAACCCGCGAGCCCTTGGCTGCTAGCTAGCTTGGCGCGCTAACCGTTGAGCTACCGAGGCCCCCCTTCATATTTCTGTACTATATGCATCAAAATTTCAGTTTTAAAATCATTAACAACAAAAATAACATTATAAGGTTATATGCCCGAAGTCACTTGTTTGAAAGTTTTCTCGTTTTCGACCAAAACCATCGACTGAATTCACATTTATATAATTGATAAATATTTTTAAACATACCCTAAATATTTTAAATATACTAAGTGACATATAAATCCGAACACCCAGTTTAAATGGTTTTATTTTAATAAAATTTTGTATAAGTACTTAATGAAGCATAATAAGTAAATGATAAAAATTTCAAAATGAGTGCACTGCTTTAAAGCCCTTTGACCTTTAATAATGTGTGGATGCACCCTGATGTGCTACGCATTCTCCAACGCGCCTAGGCATGCTTCTGATCAGGTGGTCAAAGTCCTCCTGTGGTATCTCATTCCAGGCAACCACCAACTCCTCTCGAAGTGCTTCTAGAGTCTGAAGAGGACGTTGCAAATTGAGCAATCTCCTACCCATCATATCCCACACGTGCTCAATTGAGGATAAGTCGGGAGATCTTGGTGGCCATGGTAATAATGTGACATCATTATGTTGAAAGAAGTCTATTGTGACTCTTGCAACATGTGGTCGGGCATTATCTTGTTGGAAAGTTGGATCTGCCAGGGTGTCAAGATAGGGTAAAAGATGGGGTTCTAGAACTTCGTGGATATAACGCTGCGCGTTCATGTTACCTCTGATGAAGATTAAAGGTGACCTGGAACCATAAGCTATAACACCCCAAACCATAACTCCAACAGTGTGATGAACATGTCTTTCAACAAAAAACTGTGGATTCCTCCTTTCACCACGTCGCCTTCTAACCCTGGCACGACCATCGTGCATGCCTAAACAAAATCGAGACTCGTCACTAAAGACAATACTGTTCCATTCCTGATCCCAGAGTGACCGTTGTCTGCACTACTCAAGGCGATTACGTCGGGGTTCTCGAGTTAAAGGGAGGACCCAGTGTGGCCGGTATGAAAACAAGCCAAAACTTCTCATTCGTCGGTAAACACTTCGCATGCCAATAGGTCTTCCGTGTTCTGCAAACCATTCATTTGCAATGAACCTGGTAGTGGAGAAACGGTCCCTTAAGGCCAATAATATTAGGCGGCGATCTTCACGGTCTTTGTTCTACGGCGGCGTCCTGTGCCCATTGCTCTTTGCGTACGGCCTTCTCGAAGCCATGCCTGACAACACCTAACCACAGTGTCTACACTTCTTTGCACTCTAACTGCAATTGCCCGAAAAGAAAGTCCAGGTTCCCGAAGTCCCACTATACGGCCACTATCAAACTCACTAAGTTGACGAAATCGTCAGGTCTCCGTACTCTAGGCATCGTAACCGATCGTAAAGGATGTCAAAAACAAAAATCCGCCAACTTTGATTCTTTACTGCGGCTGAAATATTCATTTTTAGAGCGTTAGTGAATTTAAAAAAGCAGTGTAAAAACCGGATTGTCCAACTGATAAGGCTGAAAATCTTTTCACTTATTTACAGTAAGATAAATACATTCACCAACTTTTATTAAAATAAAACCATTTAAACTAGGTGTTCGGATTTATATGTCATTTAGTATAGCTCGTCGTATAAATAGTATAAGGATAGATATACACGCACGACACCTATCTTGGAAGGTCAATTTATTTCGAAGTGAGACAGCGCGAAGTGCCATCTTCGGTAGTCACACACTTTGGATAGTGTATAGTTGTTATGCTTCCGTTCGTTCCCAGAGACGACCAAGCCTGGACCATGTTGAGGAGGAGCGAAAAAGCACGAAACAGCTGTCAATGGTTGGCTGTCTTTGGTCGAACGGACGAAAGCAGAGCATATTTGTTTCATCAATTGTTTTAGTGAAAAAATCCATTTTGATACCTGGTAGTCACATAAGCACGTGAATTCTTCTACAAAACCGATTCCTGATGACAGAAAGTCGAACAAATGATTCTATGTGTTTTTTACGATGGTCGATTCATGGTTTGGTTCTAAAACGGGAAATTCGACGTTCCCAGGTGTTCGCTTTGCTCGGTAGAGGTATTACGTGTCATGAAAGGTGGCACTATGTTATTTTTTTACTTTGTATAGGTTTTTTGTCATATTATAAGATGTCAACTAGCTGTTGTTCACGTGATGTGCACTCGTTCTGTAACTGTACGTCATGCCTAAACGTCTTGACGCTTCTGCTATCAATGTTTGACCTTGATGTTATGTAACATCTACTTCAGAGATGGCATTATTGGAGGGCTAAGCTGTAACTTGTATACTATAGCTGGAAGGAAACACCAGTGCATAGTTAGGGTTTATGTGTTGATAATTATTCCATTGGTTTCTTGGAACAAATACACTGTATGCAAAGCTAGAAGTTAGTTGCGCACCCACCTTTTCTTATTTATCCTAGAAATTACATATGCAAATTTGCTGAATTTCAAAAACGAGAAAGATAAGAAGAGAGTCCCTGATTGGTGAAGTGTGTTACAACCAACACGTGAGAAAGTATGCCACAGACAGGAATATTTATGAAACCTGAAAGACTGATTAGATATTACATTATCTTTATTTCCTGTCATTAGATGTGAGGCACTGCGAAAAAGTTTTGTGTGTGATGCATCATTCCTAATTTTTCTGTGATGTAGCTTAATTACTCACAACGCGTGCGCGGTGGTGATTAATCCCTCTCAAAGTTTTTGAAAACGCAAAAAAACCAGGACATAACGTAATTTATGGCTTTGAACATATCCTCTCTTCAGAAAGGCAACACAAATAAACCATCTGGTACATCTAATAGATGGGCAGCATATTCTATATATAAGTTCGAGTCACATAACTTTTGATGCACGTCATAGGCTTCAAATCACCAGTGATGCCATACGTCTTCAAAATTGGTATGTTGTAGGAATTCTCAGCATTCGTCATCTTTCTCATTTTCTCTGCATAGCATGTAAGTTGAGAGTGACGGAAAAATTACGTATTGAGGTAAGTCGGAGATAAGTCCATATTGAAATATTGCGGAACATATTACAGAAGATAGGCTTTGACAATATGAACTGTCATGTCAAATGTGAAACATCCTGTGGTATTCTAATATCATGTTTCCTGTATTGTGCTATTTTTAACCTCATTGAACGTACAAAATGACGATATGATATTATTGGGAAACCGATCCGCATAAATCCGTGATGCCGCGGCAGCATTTTGTAAACAAGAATCATGTTCACAAGTTCAGCATTTTCGTAAACATGTGCCATTTTTTACTTCGTTTGAGCCACGCAACAAACACCACTATTCACTCACGCGTTACCGACTGATACATTGACTGAATACAACTGAATAAAAACATCGTGAGCGTTTCAAATTCTTTCGCTTTTTTGTTTCCGATGCGATGAACCGATAAGGCGGATTATAACCAAACACGAGCACATAATATTATTATTGAGACAGGGCGGTACTCAAACTTCTAAATGGCTATAACTTTGTTACTTTAATTTTACCACAAAAATGTTAAAGGAAAAAACATTTCTTTTGATCAGATCTACTCACTGTTAAAATAAATGACTCAACGTATATTCATATTGTTCACATCGCAAGTATCACTGATTTTATATACTCGTACATACAGACTAATGCACACAATCATCCAGATCAGTACTCAATATCTTTACTAGTAGAACACCTACTTATTCATACAATAAACTTACCTGACTGCCTGATAATAAGATAATAAGGTAACTCGCAGTATACGTCTTTTGGTTATTCCTAAACATTCAACGGCTCCGTCTAAGCACAGTTATTCATACAATGCTGCGAAACTGTATAACCAAATACTTTTTTTCACCAATCAGACTAATATTGGTATATGTATATATCATTTTTAGTTTTTGGTATCGAATTTAAAAAAGGTGTATATTGGTAGAGAAAAAAATTGCCCCCGATCGGAGCCGCCGGCATTGAACCCTGGATTATTCGTAACACTGCTCATGGAAACCGATGACTCTGATCGGAGACAACGGCAGCGAACGTGTTAACAACATTAGAACATGCAAAATTAAAATTTGACACGTTAGTAAGTCAATAAGTGTAATTTTTAAATAAAAAGTAAAACTTACCCTATTTCCTGCTAAAACAACGTAGGCTCAAACAGTTTTGGGACTTTTTTGTCTAATGAAAAAGTCGAGCTATTGGACTTACGAGGTTCTTGCACTGACTGATACAATTCAAATCCACTTTATGTCATGAATTCATAAACTTATAAAGTGGAAAAATATAGAAAACTTATGAAAATCTATCCATTTATTATCTCCATCCGCTACATTTAAAAACTAATATTTTTTTCGGTGAGTTCCGGTATTGTTAACTCTGATCCATACACAGAAATTCAATTTAGACTTATTTTAAATAATACGCGCCGCTGCATTTCAGTTGACGTATATACTTCGCTGTGTAGCGACAACCTGCAAGAAAGTATCAAATACCCCATAAGCAACAAAAATATCTCCGTTTCCGGGATTTTCATAATTGAAAATTCTTCTAAACCCGAAGAATACAAAATACAAAACGAGAGAATATGCGATGGCTCGACTACTGTCTAATGTAACTGTAGATTTTAATAACTTGAAACGCTGTCGAGAGCGAAAAAGCAAAAAACTTGGAGCTTGCAGAGAAAAGATTTATTTGCTGATTTATTAAGACAATTGTAAAATTGAAATTTTATGCCCTGCAGAGCCTTGCCGGGTCAACTTTGACCTGGCGAAATCGCGAAGCAGATTCCAGCCTCTTGAAGGTAAGATTTTTATCCAGTGTAGTCCTGATAGCAAATAAGAGGATCGTGTTCTATGGTGCTTCTAAATTGGTAATCTGAACAGTTAGAAATGGACGCCGCTATTAGGTTGTCGCTAATGTCTAAGGTTATAGACAGGCAAAGATGGCATTTGGCGATCAGCTGTTCACACCGATAGACGTCAAAACGTGATGGTATCGTGAAGAAAAGATTACCTTTTAATAAAAAAAAATCTCATCAGTTTTTAACAGTTTGACCTCATACCACACTGGCACCATCTAACAAGAGCAAAATCGAACATAGCTGCATCCATATTTGAGATGGATGCTCTTTCGCGTTCGTGTTACAGAAGAGCGTGCTTAAGGAGCCTACCTTATATGCTCAGAGGATGATGAGTACTTTGTTCTGTCAGTCACAGCACTCTACTTTTCTGAGACTTTACTGTTCTGTAGCATGTTCTAATGTTTAGCATGGTACATAACCTACTCTTATCAAGTTCATTGCTCATAAAAGTTAATTGCAACAAAATATCAAATAATGCAATTGTCATAAATTATTTATTTACCACTTACTGCACAAAAAGCATGAGACTGGAGAAGAGGGAGCTGCACGTTGAACGATGGCAACACCGTTGACGTTTGTCAGATGGCGGCGCCGCCTGCTTGCCTGAAGGAACTATCGAAGCAATGCCGAGAATGTGCCTGGATAAGGAATGTCAGGAATGTGCCGGGGATTTCGTTTGTTCATAATTTTTAATCTGCTTGATATGATATTTCCGATATTGAAGAATTACTTCGTGAACGTATACCCCTTTTTTGACAATGGCATAAAAATTGTATTACATGAAAATATAAACAGATTTATCCCAAATTCATGTGTTGTGATGCAAGACACATGTGCCTTACTTTATTGAATTGCTTCTTGATAATTGGAACCGATTCTACATACCTTAAATTTGATAGCCGAGATGGGCAGAATTTTGCTCTATAAGACTTGACTGTACTCTGCCGATATTACTATGCGTTATTTAAATATACAAAACAGCGTTCATACTTTATGTAACGGGGCATAGTGAAAATACAAAGATTATAAAAAGGCCGATTCCCGAGATAAATATTCCAACTAGTTTTAAATAATCTACCAGCTATATCACGCCGATATAGGGTCCGTCTGAAAGAACACATGTTTTTTAGATGAGTTATACAGTCAAGCACGGCTATTATGCATAAAAAAAACTAGAAAACGCAAAAAATAGATCATTCCAGGTTTTCTCGCTATGATCGCTGACGGTTAGGCAACAAGTACGTTTAAGCAAAATGACTTCACAAGTGTAGTTTTGTAGTTGTACGTGTTGCCTAAACGTCATGAGGTTCCAGTTATCAATGTTTGGCTCTGATGTGATGTAAATTCTGCTTCTGAGATGGCATTACTGGAGGTTACGGCAATGCATAGGTGCATATCGATGATTTATGCGCTAATAATATGTGTTGATGATAATTCCATTGGATTCTTGTCTCATTCAGATTCAAAGCTAGAAATTAGTAGCGCATCCACTTTTTCTTATCCATCCTGGAAATTCCATATGCAAAATTGCTGAATCTCAAAAATGAGAGAGATAAGAAATAATTATATTCACTATACACTGTCGAATTACAAGTTATATACATGCTAACAGTAATTACACATAACGCGGGCGAGGTAGTGATTTCTAGTAATTCTCCTCAAAGTTTTTGTAAACACAAAATAACGTAAAAAACGTGATTTATAACTTTGAACATAACCTGTCTTTAGAAACGGCAACATGTAAATAACCCGTCGGGCTAAGCTAATAAATATACTTTATTGACAGCATATTCAGTAATGATTTTCTCACACAGCAAATATGATCTTATACACATGCAGACCAATACACACAATCATGCAGATGCGATCTTGCTATTCAACCAACTTTCTTCTCCGACATGAAAACTATAGACTACTCGGCATGACAAAACATATGTAACCAACAATGCGTGTAGTTGAGCCATTCCCCCTTAGATGGACGCACACAACGATCCTAGTGAGCAAACGTGGAATGACCGTTTGCATCCTAAAAGCTACCTAGTCTGCAAGATGACATTTTATAGGTTTTTTTTTACGTTTTATAGGCTTTTTACATAATACCCGTGCCGCTGATTATGGTGTCTTGCTGATATACGTAAGCACTGTTTCCCGATGCTATAGCCCGTTTGAAGAAAATTCTGACAAGTGTATGTGTGTAAACATTTTAAAGATAATACTGCCAACATATAGCTGAAAACTATGATCGGGCCATGTGTTACAATGTGTTCATGATAAGTGGGATATAGTTGCGTAGTTATAAACATTGTAACAAAGATATTATGTATAATCTCGTGGTCGAATTTGAAATCTACTAAGTAGTAAAACGTTAATTTTTGACATTTGCTCTGATAATTATTGTAGGGAAAGATAAGAATAACGACTTTTTTTAATTTCACATTCACCATTTTTCACAAATGCGGGTTACTGATTTTACGCTAATACTTATGTCACTTCTGTCGCAAAGGGACATTACCTGGTACACTGACGGGTCAAAAACTGAGCAGGGAACAGGTGCAGCTATATATGGGAACATGTGCAATCCTGAGCATAGTATGCCTCCTGGAAGACACACCTCTGTAGTAGAACTGTAAGCAATCTTGAACTGTGCAAGATTAAATAATGAGCTACCGTATAATAATAAAAGGATCGCCATATACACTGACAGTCAGGCGTCACTCATATCGTTAAGAAGTCTTAGAGTGACGTGTGCACTGATCTGGGAATGCCAAACAAGAACTGAACAGACTAGCGGAACAGAACAAGGTAACTCTTAAGTGGGTGCCAGGACGTTCAGGTAACGCAGGAAACGAAAGGGCGGATGAGGTAGCAAGGAAAGGATCATCTACACCCTACACAGACCCAGAACCTGGCTTGGAGGTGCCAAAGAGCATAATAAGGAACCACGTCAAAGAATGGGTAAGAAACCAGCACAAGGAATACTGGCACTTAGTGACTGGATGCAGGCATGGGAAATAATTCTTCTCGAGACCATGTCGAAACAAGAATGCGTGAATGCGAAACTGCATTTCAGTGAGCAGAAACCAACTCCGTGTAGTTACAGGTCCTCTAATAGGACACAATGGCCTGAAAGAACATGTGAGCAAAATAAGGCTGTACGATGGAGTCCTTACCTACAGACAATGCGTGAAGAACAGAATCAGAACTACATGTCTTATGTGAGTGGGGGCGCTGGATCAGAAAAGACATCAACTTTTAGGCAAACCCAAACTATAACCGACGAAGTTTCGAACAGTACGGGCAGCAAAACTGTACCAATTGGTACAGAACACTAGACTGCTGGATTGGGTACTGTAAATTCGAGGAGCAAGGCACAATAAGCCCTAGAGTTCTAAAGGCTGCAGTGCTATTGGAAACTTTGGTTGGACGGCTCCCGGAAAGGAAAAAACTGCCGATTCATCACTTTTCACAAAAGTTGGCCAAAGATTTTGCTCTAATACACTTCAGTATACGTACAGTATTTATGAGTTTTCGTCCAGATCACAGATGTTTTTTTTTTTCATGAATCGTTCATAAATGGTTAAAATGTCTGTTGATATCCCGAAAACAACGGAACTTTGTCGGACAAAATCAACTGCGGTTTTGATGTCAGCGACTCAAAAATGCTTCAAAAACACGGTTGAATTTACATTTCTGAAATTTTTGAAATTTTCATTTACCACATACCATCCCATTAAACATGGCAACTGAAAATTCAAAACAATCATATCGAATGTATCTGGTTATCAGCTTTATAATGTGAATCCTGTTATGTAAAAAAATGAAAAATATGATGACAAACAATTCATTTTCTACACACAAACAAATCTTGATACAATTCGGTAATCTAAGGTGCTGAATTGACAGAAAACATTTTAAAGTATCGTTGGGAGGAATGCATATTAGAAATTGGAATCAGCGCACCCAATTTATCAGAGAGATAAGTTTTTATCCAAATTACAGATGTGCAATATTTTTGGAATGTTCACGTGATACGTTATATAACAATGCGGATTTGTCGAGTAAAAACAAATATGACCACAAGAAAAACTCGTTAGGAACCACCTGATCTATCGAGGAAAGTATAGTTTTTATTCAGATCAACCTTTGAAGTAACTGTAAAGGTCGATATCAAAGTCACAATAGATTCTATGAGGAAACCCTTTAATCAAAGGATATGTTGTTCGGTTAGCCTCTTTCCAAAGTGCATGCCAAGCAATTATGTATTCATATCATAAGTGATGTATACTTGCTTAACAATGGAACTGCTATGCATACTATATCTTATCCGGTTCAAACTTTCAGGCTCCTGAAGGTAGAAGAAACCCAAATATCAATTTGCTAATTAACAAAGTTCATTTCTATGAGCATGTTAAGTGCACGTTGTATAGTGAAGATTGACTGGTTGAGGGCTTTTGTTGCTCCTTACTGCGAGTTAATATTGAACAATAATTGCGGTCACTGATAATTTACAGGGTGTGTTAAAGTTTTCTGTTCAGAATTACCTGCGTTTGAAATAACTAATGGTCCAGGAACTCACGGCTGCCAGACATTACTTATTTTCTAAAAGACATTAAATACCTTTTAATGCACTTTTAATGCCTATGTATCTGCTAATAAAAAATAAGACTAACTTTACTTAAGTTCTAATGGCAGATTCTTATACACACATACTTTGTAAAACGATATTTGTTTCAAGTATATTCTGCCACCTTGCTTAAGAGTGAAATCTTGATGGATAATTGACAAATATTGCGATGTCTTGTTTTGACACCTATTTTCCAAATCAGGTATAAATTCGAATACATTCTTAATATTCTCCTAAACCAATAATAACATGGAAGGTCCTGTTTTGGGCACTTTTCTCCTCCAGTTTTAATGTTGCTTAAGAAGGCAACACCGGTTGGTAACAGCAAACTCAACGACGAGATCTTTGACAGAGTTTGGTGGGCGGAAGACCCTCATAACTTGGCTTGCTAGACGTAATTACGAAGAGAGAAGTCCAGTGTGAAAGAAAATTAAGAGACATAGTGGAGCGCCTGAAAGATCTTGCGAACAGTCATCGGACTGGGAGTAGACAGGGAAATATAGGTACAATTAAGCCCGCTACCAGCGCTGCGTCTGTTCGGCGAGGCGCTTCGGGAATTTCAGGGATTTTATCTCAACCCCATTGATATTATTTTACTACTAACTATGCCTCACGCATTCTAGGTGGACACTGACACGGAGACATTCAAAATGCCAGATGAACTGAAGAGAGGAAGACGGCTTCCTCTCTGACGAGACATTTGGAAGTCATCGCTGTTTCAGTTAAATCCTTCATCAACAAAATTCTGCACACTGACTGACAAGAAGCGCTGCAGTACATCCAGTATCGATGGATAGCCGAGTTCTGAGTTGGAGCTGTTTATTTCAGATGCTCGGAATCCAGATCACCGAGGGCTTGATTTGGCACGAATACGTCGCAACAGCTGCTACGAAAGGGTCGAGTTATTTGTGTAGGTCTAAGAAGTATTTTTCTCCGCAAAACCTCCTCACTCTGTACAAGGAACGGATAAGTCCTAGCCTGGAGTATTGCTACACTACTATCATTACTCGATGCTATTTGGAGGAGGGATGTCCGAAAGATCGGTGACACTTTTCTAACGGACTCTTTGGGGACACTTTCATACACTGACGGGCAGTTGGTTAAACTAACGGACTTTGCTTTACTCCTTACCACAGTGCATTGTATCTACCAGACGAACCTGCCAAGCTTATGCCTCCCATCCTAACACTGTCAAACTTCGTACATCTAGAACTGGATGATACGACCGCTTTTTTGTTTCTAGGGTGTCCAGATCTTCGAACAATCTGCTTGAGGAGGCTTCAACTGGTTCAGCTGAGATTAGCAGTAAAAAAATTGGAGTAACAACATGTCTTTAAGCTCAGCATAGGCTCGGCATTCAGATTCCTTCCTACATGACTGCATTATTCTAAGAAATGTCTTTACCCGAATTATGTTTGACAGAGCCGCACAGGAATTATGTAAAAAAAACTATTAGACCTAAAAACTATAAAATGTCGTCTTGCAGACTAGGTAGTTTTTAGTGTGCAAGTAGTCATCTCACGTTTGCTCACTAGGATCATTGTGAGCGCCCATCTATGGAGGAATAACTCAACTAAACTACAAGCATTGTTGGTTGCATATGTTTTGTGAAGCCAAGTGGTCTGTAGCTTTCATCTCTGAGAAGAAAGTTGGTTGAATAGCAAGATCGCATCTGAATGACTATGTGTATTCGTCGGCATGTGTATAAAATCAGTGATATTTGCAGTGTGAGAAAATCATTACTGAATATGGTGCCAATGAAGTTAATCTATTAGCTGTGCTCGACGAGTTATTTATGTTGTGCTTTCTGAAGAGAGGTTATGGTCAAAGTTATAAATTACGAAGAAACTGTGAGTAGAATTACGAGAAATCGCCACCGCGCTCGCGTTGTGTATAATTACTGTTAGCATGCATATGGCTTGTAATTTGACAGTGTACAGAGGATATAATTATTTATCTCTCTCATTTTTGAAATTCAGCAAATTTGATGTAATTTCCAGAATAGATAAGAAAAAGTGGATGCGCAACTAATTTCAAGCTTTGAATCTCAAGTAAGTGTATTTGAGACAAGAATCCAATGGAATTATCAACTCATACAACTCTTACAGCTTAGACCACCACTAATGCCATCTCATCCAGCCATCAAATCAGAGCGAAACATTGACAACTGAAGTCTCGTGACGTTTAGGCAACACGTACAACTGAGTGCTAAGTTAACATCTTGTAAAAAAACGTCACTTTTCGAGATACGTGATATCCGTGCCGAACAAGACTTTTCAAAAGAAACACTATTTTCGGTAAATGACTGTAACAACACATACGATAGTCTGTTGCTATATAATTACAGAACAACGGATACAATTTATTTTATAAAGTCATGAAATGGAAATATATACAGAAGCTCATTTCGCAGAAGCATCGAAGACATGACATATTGGGATACATGTTCGAAATACATGATGCAATATAATAATTATATTGTACAGAGAGAGCCAATGTAAATAACTCCCGTAGCACATACAAAGATACACCCGAAGCACACATCACATGGCGCCTGCATCATAACGTCTATGAGAATTTGGTGGATGTCAAAGGCGAGTAAATCTGATGTGGCTTGACACATCGCCCACAAACAATAAATCAAAGAGCGCCCGACCGGCCGATGGAGCTCACGGCACAATCCGCAAAAGTAAAATCCCGCCCACGGATATACTACCAGATTAAAGTAATATTGTCTCTGTGTGTGTAGCTAGAAGTGTTCTTCTATTCTTTAGCTTTCTATAGATGTTCTACTAGTACAGTCATCTTAGAAACGAAACTCCACAATCTAAAGGATTGCTGAATCCTATTCTATCGAATAACACAGGCCAACGATGAAAACACTTTTTTACTTAAAATACTTCATTCTTATGTTTTTTAGGATGCTGAAACTAAATATGATACTTAAAAAGCCGTATCACCCATCATTTCTTCGATTTTAATATGTTATAGTTAAATTCATTAAACTAAGCGATTTTTAAAGAACTGGACATATGTTATATAGTTATAATAATTGAAAAACTAGGTCTAAATGGATGCAGAAGACGTTGGTAGCACCGCTGAAACACATTTTCTCACTTTCACAGTAGGCCTAAGGAACAACATTGGTACAGAAAGGACTGGCCTTTTACTGAGTCTTTGAAACGTCTACAAAAATCTTGTAGATCAAAAAACGTGCTCCTACCTCCTCTTCATATAAAATTAGGACTAAAGAAACAGTTTGTAAAGGCTGTGCCTAAAGATGGACCATGTTTCAAGTACCTCTGCCAAAAGTGTCCACACCTTTCAGAAGCAAAACTGAAATACGGCGTCTTTGTTGGACCTGACATCAGAAAAATGATGTTTGGCGTTTGACTTGAATCCACAATGACCTTAAATATGAGAAATAAGCTTGGGAGTCTTTCAAGGAAGTCGTTAAAAAGTTCCTGGGAAATAAAAAAGACCCAGAATATGCTCCTATTGCAGCTAACATGTTAGATGATCCTAAAAGTTCACTTTTGAAGTCACCTTGATTACTTCCCGAACAATTTGGGAGATGTTAGTGAGGAGCAAGGTGAGCGTTTTCACCAAGATATTTAACTTATGGAAAAACGCTACCAGGGCCGATGGAATACCAACATGATGGGGGACTATTGTTGCTAACTTCACATAGAAGTTCAGCAAGCAACTCATCGAAGAGAAAGCTACACAAAAAAAATGGAAAGACAGTATAAACCAGTTCCCGCTGACAACTAAATCCAGTATTATATCACTGTTTTAAGTACCCTACTGTAAATACAAACCATGCTAATTCAATGTAACATAGCGTCTTGATTAATTCAACTATGTACAGTATAATGAAAAGTAAATTGCTCAAAAACTATGGGTGATACAAAAAAACTAAGGCGATATTTGGATTCAGCTCACAAAAACCTATAAAATTCAGCCTTCAGAGAAAAAAAAATTTCAAAAATATGTTTTTTTTTTTGGCCTGTGTATTGTATATATATGTGTATATATATACAGGGTGTTCCATAATTATTGCGACAAAATGATAGGGGTTGTAGAGGGCATAAAAATATGCAATTTTGCCTTATAAACCCCTGTTCGTAAATATGCCGTTTGAGCACTACCGCTAATTTTACCTTAAGAGCTCATAGGAGAAACAAAAAATTCAACAGCTGCAAAATGTTCGTCTAGCACATTTCATGGTCTCGCCGATTTGTAAGAAAAAGCCTGCTGTGTTTACATTTTTGTTATCGTAAATTCTCCACACCGATTCATTTAATTTATCTGAGTGGTGCGTCAAACTAGATAGTAAATAACAGTACCTTAGTGTTAAAATGCAGCGTTATTCGTATGCGGAACTTGCGGATATGCATTTAATTTACGGAGAAGCTGGTGGTAACGGAAGACGAGCCTCGTGAATCTACGCCCAACGGTTTCCAGAACGTCCTCATCCGCATCACGCCATTTTTGCAAGGATTCATGGACGTCTTCGTGTCAGCGATTCTGCATCATGTAGAGGCCAATCCGCGTACAAGCGTGCGTGCTATTGCACATGAAATGGGAGCGTCTCAAACTACTGCTTGGCGGGTTCTCCATGACCAGCAACTACACCCATACCACCTTTTAAAAGTCCAAGCCATGGGTCCAGAAAACTATCTGCCGCGTCGACGTTTTTGTCGTTGGTGGCTGCAGCAGGAGTTGAGGCAACCAAACTTTGGTCGCTACGTTTTGTTCACTGACGAGTCCTGTTTCACAAAGGACGGTTATTTTAATAGCCGTAACAGTCACATTTGGGATGAAGAAAACCCTCATGCCATAGACATCCATAGAGACCAACATAGTTTTCAATTAACATCTGGTGCGGCATTGTGGACGAGCATATCATCGGGCCATATTTGCTTCCACCACGTTTGGATGGGCATGCTTATGGTCGATTCTTACAGCATGTGCTACCGGAACTATTAGAAAATGTGCCACTGAACATAAGAGCCAACACGTGGTTTCAACACGATGGCGCTCCAGCCCACTTTTCTTTACAAGTGCGGCAGTATTTGGACGACAAATAGGTGGATAGGCCGAGGTGGCCCTGTGCCTTGGCCTGCGCGGTCACCCGAAATGACCCCACTGGATTATTTTCTCTGAGGCCATCTGAAAGCTTTAGTGTACGAAACTCCTGTTCCCAACCAACAAGACCTACTGGGAAGAGTGATGGTCGCGTCCGCACATGTTCAGGACATACCGGGGGTATGCCACAGAGTTCGCCGATCATTGAACAATCGTGCACAGCTGTGTATTGAGCAAGGTGGAGGACACTTTGAGCAATTACTGTAGGTAAGCTGTTTCAAGAAACTGATCTTTTTTTTTGCTGCAGCCCAAACGGCATATTTCCGAACAGGGGTTTATAGGGCAAAATTGTTCATTTTGATGCCCTCTACAACCCCTATCATTTTGTCGCAATAATTATGGAACACCCTGTATATATACAGGGTGGCCCATCCATGTGTGGATGGAATATTACTCATAAACAAATACATTTTAGGAAAATCTACCTATGGGATGTTATACACGACATTTGAGGGCACATTTCTAAAATATTGGCCATTATACAGGGTGTCCCAGTTTCGACCTACATATTATCAAAGTTGTGATTTGTTAAATTTAATGCCTCAAATTTTATTGCACATTTGGATAAACCAATTCAAAAGAAGAAAATTGATATAACATACTATGGGGTTTTGATAATTAGCTACTGAGATATAAGGTGTTTTGTCTAGAAAAATCCCCCACTTCGCCAACCCTTCAGTTCGCCATTTTGAAATTTGGAGTGCTGAATTTTGTATCAAAAAAAACTTACGCACCTCAGCTTTTATATTATTTGTTACTTTTTCGAATTTTAATTTTTGCTCATACAGGGTGGTCAAAAACGCGAATTGTACTGTTTCTCAAACATTTCAAATGCAGCGCCCTGTCTGTATATTTGTGCATGTTTGGATTCAATTTTTCATAAGCTTTTTTTTTGATACTAGGCACAAGCTGTCAAAATTAGCTTTGTGAGCATTATAATAGAAACGTGTTTGAAAATTAATTTTTCTAAACAAGAAATGGTGAACATGATCGGCAACATTTTCCACACTACGAGAATGTTCATGTTACTTATGATTCTATGCCCACCATTTTGTGCAATCATCAGTTGGTTCATGATGTAATTTAACCTTCGTTTTAAATAATTTTAATCCGTTTTAATTTGTTCTTGACATATATCTGTGTGTAGTTTGTATCAATGTTGACGTTTTTACCATGTATCCAGCTTTCACCAGGGGGTGTTTCCCTCAACCTAAACATGAATAACATTTAGCAACATCCTCACATACTACTGTAAGTTAACTTAACATTCATTTTGCACAATTGTTGCTATTCTTCTCAATGTTATTGCAGCTCCTGATGATGATGGCAAAGACCATTGAAAGCTAGAGAGATTAATAAAGTATAAAGAGTCCTCTTTGCTAAAATTTTTGTCGAAGTACCCAACAAAAGGCGGAAGCTTTAGTTTTTCACCTAAATGGTCTACACGACAATAACCACGTCTCAAGTCATATATATATATATATATATATACAATGTGTTTGGTCACGACATTCCGATATTTAAGAGGGGTATTTTTCAGCTATTTTTATCGACAAATACTCCCTCCTACGATGTCCTTTCTCACCACCTTGAAGTGGCGGCCATTTTTATTTTTACGATAGGATTACGCTAGTGCAATGTATGAAACTTGTACTACCTGAGTACGTAAGAGTCACTGAATGATAAATTTTGTGTCATTTGAACGATAACATGTTGTTCTAGGGATTATTAAAAAACTGGATACTAGCCGTCAACCATATCTAAAAACAGACAAAAATAGAAAAAAAAGCAAGAAAATTGATTATTTTGTGCATTTCGGCACACCACTCTAAAACTAGTCTGTGAAGTTGTACTTTTTTATGCTAATTCCACAGCTAATCATGTTTTCTACAAAATGACACCAAATTTTGTTACCCTATGCTAGTTATTTTAAGTACAAATGTTGCTTAAACATGACCCAGGCGCAAGCCGTCCCGATACAGGTAGCGGACCAGACCTCACATTCCTGGCATAGGGATGAATTTATTGAGAGTGTGAGCGAGGCAAAATCTACTGAAAGATCTCGTTATCGATATAGTAACAACCGGTTGTTTGTTGTCAATATCATAGTGAGTGTTTTGTAGTCCCTCGCCACGCATTGTGATCACACGTTCATTTTTTTACCATTGCTAACTAGTTTCAATATCAATCTTCTGAAAGTATTTGAGTTGGAAGTGATTTGTCACTGAACATTTTATTAGTCGTACCTCAGTACCGATAACCAGGTTTAACGCTCCTACATTACTTTTTCTGGGGTACAATGAAGCAAAAAGTTTACTGTCATGTGTCGACGACACGGAAAGAGCTCCTGGAAAGGATCCACGCCGCTGCGAACGAAATTAGAGCGGACACGGATATGGTCCGCTGCTCAACACGACACATTGTTTTTAGAACAACAATGTGCATGA